CTAATCCCCTGGCTGAACTTTGTCAAGGTGCTTCCTTCCCCAGGTGCCCGGAGCTGAACGCGGGGTTCTGCAGTTGAGAAGAGAGCTTGGGGCTCAGCAGGATCCGATTGGGAGCGCTGGAGTGGGCTGGGCGCACCCTGCTGCCTCTGTCCCCACCACATATCCTCCCACAGCCGCCAGACTGCTCTTTTCTTGAGTGAGCTTTGTAGCTGTCCCTCGCCTGTTTATCCATGCCCCCAACCCCTGGCTTCCCACTGCACATACAATAAGGCCCAAATTTATAAATGTACCCAGGGCTGCCCCTGCCAACCCCTCCCTGCCTCCTGGCCCTCCTTCCCTAGCAGCCTTGCTCCTCCAGCCCAGTCCGCCGCAGGGCCTTTGCACGGCTGTGCTCTCTGCCTGGGAAACTTAGCAGCCAGTTGTTGCCTTGGGTGCCTTCTCATCACTCCGGTCTCAGAGGAGAGGCCTTCCGTCATCTCACTTAGCACCCTCTCCCTCCTCTGGTCACAATCACATCTCCCGAGTTTTGTCCATTGGTTTTTCTGCACAGCAGGTATCCCTGCCTGAAAATATCTCCTTCCTGTGCTTTTCATCTGCCTCCACCCGGCAGAGTGCTCTCCCGTTCAGTGCCGTGTCCCCATGTGCTGGAGCACAGCGGTCACACAATAGGCATTTAATAGGCAGGAGGGTCTGGCTTCCAAGAACCCCAGGCTGAAGGGGACAGCAGCCAGGAAAAAGCCGGACAGGACGGTCCTAGGCCTTGGTGGACAAAGGTAGGGGCACAGAGGCCTGGCTCATGACAGAAAATAAGTTCCCTGGGGGAGATCCTGTGTGTGGCACATTGGTCCTTCAGAAGGGGAATGACTGAAGGCTGGGGTCCAAGCCCTCGCCCTGCTCCTGGCAACTCCATCTTCCGGCCTAACTACCCTCCTCTGTGGAATGGGGATAAAAATGGCTACTTCTGGCCAGGCGCAGTGGCTCACACCTGTAATCCCAGCACTTTGGGAGACCAAGGTGGGCAGATCACCTGAGATCAGGAGTTCAAGACCAGCCTGGCCAACATGGTGAAACCTTGTCTCTACTAAAAATTAAAATATATATATATATATATACACACACACACACACACACACACACACACACACACACACATATATATACACACACACACATATATATACACACGTATATATATATAGCCAGGTGTGGTGGCACACGCCTGTAATTCCAGCTACTCGAGAGGCTGAGGCAGGAGAATCACTTGAACTTGGGAGGCAGAGGTTGCAGTGAGCTGAGATCACACTATCGTGCTCCAGCCTGAGCGACAGAGTAAGACTCCGTCTCAGAAAAAAAAAAAAAAAGTGCCTACTTCCCAGAGTTGCTCTAAGAACTGAATTAAGCCATATGTGAGAATCTGTTTATAAACCTTTAAGGGTTGTACAAATGTGTATTGGTAAGGACCCAGTTGGGCTGCAAGGATCAGAAATCCATCTCAAACTAGCTCAAACTCAAAAGGGAATTCATGGGCTCTTGTCACTGAAAAGTCCCTAGGGTGAGAGAAGTTTAGCTTCAGGTATGGCCAGATCAAGGTGCTCCAACAGAACAAGTCTCTCCTTCCCTGTCTGCTTGTCAGCCCTCCTCTGTGGGGGCTCCCTGCTTAGGCAGCCTTTTACCAGCTGGTGGCCATCAGCCCTCCAGGCCCCTACCCTGACATGTGGCCCACCGTACCTGAAAGGGAGCATCTTCTATGTAAGCCCAGGCTTCAGCCTCAGGCTTGGTTCTCATTGGTACACATGGAGAACTCAATTTGAACCAACCTCTGTGGAAGCCAGGATGTTGGGAAACTCTGACTGGCCACCCTGGAGCCCGGGCTAGAGTGGCTTCATCTGAGCCACAGAGACTGTGGGTGGAGGTGGCGGGTGCAGGTTCTCCAAGGGAAAACGGGAGCACTGCTACCCAAAGAGGGGGTCTGGGACCCTGGCTGGCAGACAACGGATGTTCACCACCAGACAAATGGTGACAATCTCAGCCTTCTGGCTGGCCCTGCCATCAGAGCACTCAAAGGTCCCAGGTCCCTGGAGGCTCCACTCTGGGACTGCCCTGCAGGTGGTCGGAGGAGTCCACTTCCCTGGGAAAGTACTGAAAGAAGCTTCTGTGAGAATGAAACAGAATTGTTCACGAATGTGATTTGTAAATGTTGAAAACACCCTTCAAATGTTAGAGATTATCCTTAGTGTTGCAGAACAGGAAACGGGCGAGGCACTACAGGATTTTGGAACTGAAATGGGCTTCAAAATGATTGGCCACCACCCCAACCCCCCCTTTTTCCCAGTCACCTTACGTGGAAGCCAGAATAATGTATTTTGGATGCAGATCACATCCTATCACTCCCTCCTGAACCCTCCGCTGGCTTCACTTTGCTCTTGCAGTACTCTAGATTCTCCTTGCTTCGGGGCTCTGGGGGTCGGGTACCCGCTCACCTCTCAGAGTCCATCCCCACTTATGTCCTCCCGCCACACCCTGCCGCTCCAGCTGCACTGCCGGTCCTTGGGGTCTGGAAACACATCTAGCTCACTTTCCCCCAGGGTGCTTTCCACTTGCTGATCCCTGTATCCACAACACTTTTCCTCCAGGTCTTCCCCATGGCCGCTGCCACTTTCTCTTCAACCAGGTCTCTGCTGAAACGGCACCTCCTCAGAGACCCTCCCTGGCCACACTTCCACAGAGATGCCCTCCACTCCTCCTCTCTGCCCCTCTCTCACTTTACCCACTTTATATTCTGCAGCCTCTGGAATTATTTTGTTGTTCTATTTGTTTGCTTACTTACTGTCAGTCTTTCTCCCACCTGCTACCCCCACTGGAGTACTTGGCTCCAAAAACACAAGGTCTTCCACATAGCTCAAGGCCTGACATAGAGCAGGGAGGTCAATAAATACCTGTTGAATGAATGAATATCTGACGGACAGATGGGTGGGTGAGGGTGAGCGGGCCGAGCTCAGATGCAGATGTGATGTGCCCAAGGCCACACAGCTGGCACCAGCAACCTGGTGGACTGAGCCCATGCCCTGTCCAGTCCTGCCTTCACTCTCTAATCTATTTCATGCCCCTTTAAAATATAATAATAAACATGTGTCCTGTTTATTCTCTTTAGCTTGGGAACTCGCGTGGCGCTCTGGTGGCTAAAGACCCTCCAGATTCCTACATCCCACCAGCTCACACCCTGTGGCCTCAGGGCCACCTGCTCTAGCTGCTGGATGCACCTGACTTCAAAGCCCATTAAGCAGATCATTACGAGGTTAATAAAACCCGTTCCCCTACACCCGCACACGTCCGCCCTCGCCTGCAGCCTGCTGCCCATCATCTGGGTCTGCTCTCACTGTTGCCAGGAGCTGAGAGAGAGCGGGGTGGCCGTGCAGGTGAGCAGCCCCGAGGGAGCGGCTGTCACTGAGGCCCTGTCCCTCCAGGCTGTCCTTTGAGGTGGGAAGTGGGAGGTGGCCTGTCTCTTTGAAGACCCTGCACCTGAGCCAGACCCTGTTGGGGGGCCTGTGAGGCTGGCAGGAGGCGGCCACTACAGCGGGACTGAGGCAGCCTCGCACACAGAGACCCGCGCTCTGTGAGCTGCAGTAGTCTCCGCGATGGAGGAGGGAAGGGGCCTGCTGTCCCCCTGACTCACACCAGGCACGGGGGATAGGGGCTGGGGAGCGTTTGGGCCGTGGCGACAAGACTGGGGTGGGGCAGGGTGGACCCCTGGGGCTGAGGGTTCCCATTCAGGGGGTGCCCTGATACAGGTACAGGACATTCCCAGCGTGGGGTCGTGAGGGTGAGGGAGGCTCCTCTCCTCATCCAGAAAATTCCATCTCGATGAAATGTAACTGAAGAAAACATCAGCTCCTCATGTCGTTAGTGAGGGGAAAGACACACTGCTGAAGGAAGCATACAGCAAGAGACCAGAGAGTAAATACCTAAATTCAAGCAAAACTCGGTCTAGTGACTGATGCCGACATATAGACCTGCACCCATGGAGAGAAAGGCCCAGGAGGCCACGCGGCAGACTCTGCCAGCAGCTTTCTCCCTGGAAAAACCAAGGATGTGAGGCGGGGTGATGTGCAGTCTTTTTTAAAAACACAACATAATGTATTCATGTTTTATATGTAAGATTAAAAATTAATTTTTAAAGATATTCACCAAGGATATAATTTAGAGTGCGAGGGTCAGAGCTCGCCCTTGAAGGAAGGGAACGGACAGTGAGGAAAGCACAGGAGAGGGTCCCGGCTACAGGGGAGACCCCCGGGGTGCTGAGCCGCTGCCCTGGGCCTGGTGCCTGGTAGAAAAACCTTGGTGCCGCCTGTCACCACGGCGCCTTCTCTGAGACTGGACACCCCCAGCTATCTCCCCAGGCTTGACCTCCCTTGAAGCTTCCTCCAAGACCCCACCCTGAAGTGGCTGAGGTGGGCCCAGGAATTGGTTCCAGGACTCGGGGAGCGGCCCGGGGCAGGAGCCAGGCCCACAGAGAGCAGGGAGCTGGCGCGGGGCAGGAGCCGGGCCCACGGAGAGCAGGGAGCTGGCGCGGGGCAGGAGCCGGGCCCACGGAGAGCAGGGAGCTGGCGCGGGGCAGGAGCCGGGCCCACGGAGAGCAGGAGCTGGCGCGGGGCAGGAGCCGGGCCCACGGAGAGCAGGGAGCTGGCGCGGGGCAGGAGCCGGGCCCACGGAGAGCAGGGAGCTGGCGCGGGGCAGGAGCCGGGCCCACGGAGAGCAGGGAGCTGGCGCGGGGCAGGAGCCGGGCCCGGAGAGCAGGGAGCTGGCGCGGGGCAGGAGCCGGGCCCACGGAGAGCAGGGAGCTGGCGCGGGGCAGGAGCCGGGCCCACGGAGAGCAGGGAGCTGGTGCGGGGCAGGAGTCGGGCCCACGGAGAGCAGGGAGCGTTCTGCTCGGCTGATCCACGGTGCAGGGGCTGCAGCATCTCCGCTTCCACCCAGAGAGTGACGGCGTCCGCAAGCTCATGTGAGGGGAGTTATTTTATTAACCAGGTAGATTAAGCATCTCTCCTTCTAATTACTGGTTTAATTAACCTTGGCACACAGTATGTACCAGCCCTGAGGGACTGAGTCAGAATGGTTGTGCTGGGTGAACATCACCCATCTGCTCTGCACAAGCTCCAGAGGACTCTCAACGGGCCAGGGTAGCGGACATCGAGGGCCAGGAGTCTGGTGGCACCAGGAAGGAGCGGAGGAAAATGTGGGCAGGGATTGTCCGAAACCTCACAAGAGAGTCTTGTCATGGGCGCCGAATTCCAACAAGGCTGCCTCTTCAGCAGCCCTCCTGCAACGACCTGAGCAGGGCTGACCCGACCTCAGAGAAGGCAGCCCGGGCCACTCTGCTTGGGTCTCCCAAGTGTCCGCAGGGTAGCCAGTGTGCCCTGTGCAAGCCTGGGAGGTAGAAGATGTGGATGGCGATGGTGGAGGTGCTGCTTCAAATTCTCCAAGCCTCAGTCTGCTCATCTGTAAAATGAGCAGGATGATATCTAAGTCACGGGGCAATTTATAAGGTTTAATGAAGAGAACAGAAATTGAGATGCTTGCATTACATTAATTTGTTGATTCATTCATTCAGCACATATTCCTGGAGTGTGCACTGTGTTGGCAAAAGTAAGGGATACGATGATGAACAGGAAGGATTTAGAGACTGAGTGCTCTGGGAATTGACAATGTCTGCCTAAGGACCCCAGAGTCATAAGCACATGTGTGCACACGCACATGAGCACACACACACCAGCACACATACACACGAGCACACACAGATACACATGTGCACACACACACGAGCACACATACACACGAGCACACACAGATACACATGCGCACACACACAGGTGCACACACACAAGCACACACATATATACACGAGCAGATACACAAGTACACATACACACGAGCACACACACAAGTACACATACACATGAGCACACACAAGCACACATATGAGTACACACAGATACACATGCATGCACACACACGAGTGCACACACACAAGAACACATACACATATACACACATACACATGAGCACACACAAGCACACATACACATGAGTGTGCACACACGAGCACACACACACAACCACACATACACACGAGCACACACAAATACGCATGCACCCACACACACGTGTGCACACACACACGAGCACACATACACACGAGCACACATACACACGAGCACACACAGATACACATGTGCACACACACAGGTGCACACACACAAGCACACATACACATATATACACGAGCAGATACACAAGTACACATACACACGAGCACACACACAAGTAAACATACACATGAGCACACACATGAACACACACAAGCACACATACGAGCACCCACAGATACACATGCATGCACACACACGAGTGCACACACACAAGAACACATATACATATACACATATACACATGAGCACACACAAGCACACATACACATGAGTGCACACACACACACGAGCACACACACATGAGCACACACACACAACCACACATACACACAAGCACACACAAATACACATGCACCCACACACGTGTGCACACACACAAGCACACATACACATATACACACGAGCACACACACAAGCACACATACACATGAGTGCACACACACATACACATGAGCACACACACACGAACACACACACAAGCACACATACACATGAGCACGCACATATATACATGAGAACACATATGAGCACACACATGCTGCTTCCTGACCTGTTGCCCATGACACCGACACTCAGTACACACTTAGAAGATGCTTGCACCCACACGCCTGCATGGAGGCACGTGTCTCCTTCACAGCCATGAACAGCACACACACTCATCTCAAAAACAACTCTACACCCACACGCATGCACGGGTGGCCATGTGTGAAGACGGCTGTGTGCCTCCTCTGTTCTCAAGAAGCATAAGGCCAAGACGTCACATTAATAAAAAAGCATGGTGTCCTGGTAAAGGTATATTTATTTATTTAACGCTTATTAAAATCTTAACCTAGTCTCCTCTTCACTAACGCAGTGTGACTGGAGTCTCTTGATGATTGTGTGGGAGGGTGAAGAAGAGAGTGTATGTGTTTACATATGTGTGAGGGAGACTTTCTATTCATGTGTGTGGGGTGTGCCATTGCGTGGGCTGTGTCCAGGTGTGGCCTCTGTGTTTGTGTGTACCTGGGAGCATGTGTATCCCTGGGTCTGTGTGTACATGTCCAGGTGTGTGTGTGGGGGGGTGTGTGTGCCCAGATGTGAGTTGTGTGTGCTTGTATGTATTCAGTCTGGGTGTGGGATGTGTATATCTGTGTGTGCGTGTCTAGGTGTAGGGTGTGTGTATGTGTGTGTGTTCAGTCCAAGTGTGGGTGCATGTATATGTGTGTGTGCATGTCTGGGTGTAGGGTGTGTGTATGCCTTGGTGTGGAGTATGTGTATTTGTGTGTGCATGTCTGGATGTGGGCTGCATGTATATGTGTGTGTGTGTTGGCTATTTCGTGAGTGTACATATCCGGGTGTGGGCTGTGTATATGTGTGTGTGTTGCCTGCGTTTCTGTGTGTGTGCACGTCCAGCTGTGGAGTATTCGTTGTGCTCTTGTACTTCTGAGGCTCTTTGAGTAGTAAGAGGTGTTTCTTAGCCTGTTTTTTACCATTGCCCCCATAAGGAGCCTTTGTAGACTTTTCATCCCTAGTAGCCCCCCTGAAATGTTAAGACCACAGATACACTGTATATCTGGTTGTGCACCGTATGTGTGTATGTGTATATGTGTGTGTATATCTGTGCTTTAGAGACCAGAATTTTTTTACCTGCCCTGGAATAACCAGCTTCCACCCTGCTCCTGGAGAAAGGAGACCCTCCCACACAGGCCGCTGAGAGTCCCTGCTGCAGAGCAAGGGTTTCTTTGCCCGGCCTCAGGGGTGTGACCACTGTCCTCCCACTCCTGGCCCATGTTGCGTGCAGTGGTTCCCAGTCTTTAGGGCCCAGCTGGAAATCTCTTAAAACACAGCTGTCTGGGCCCCACCTAAAGATCCTGTCAGTAGACCTGAAGAGGGGCCTGACATCGGGGTTTCAGCAAGCTCTGAGGGGGTTCTGATGCCCTGTCTGAAGTGGGGGTCTGGGGCTGAAGGGGTTTCAAATCACCAAGGAACCATCTAGTCTGAGGGAAAAGGGCCTGCCTAGAACACTGACCTGGTCCTAGAGAACTCAAGACCCATCTAGCCAGGCCTCCCTATGCCAGCACTACCCAGGGCTGCCCAGAGGAGGCTTGTGGGAGGCTGGTGGCTGGACCAGAACCCTTCCCACTGACTTAGGGCATGGAGGAGGCAGTATGAGGATGTGTTCCCAGGACCACGGTCACGCAGCAGGTGTCTGGGACAAACACTGCCCCAGGATGTCTGGAGTCCCATTTTCCACCTGTTTGATACAGCCACAGATGCCCCCCACAGACCTGGGCCTCCCTTCTGTGAACCCCAACCTTCCCCAAGGGACTGGAGCTCCCATGCCAATCCCAGGGTGGGTCTGGTAAGCAAGGCAGAGGTAAGCTTCTGCCTCCTCTCCCAGCCCTCGGTTCACTGAGTCAAAGCTTACCTCTGTCCTGCCTACCAGACCCACCCTGGGATTGGCATGGGAGCTCTAATCCCCATTGGAACCCCATCTGGAAGTTGCTAGAGACCTGGTAGCAAAATCAATCGAAACCAGAGAACCCCTACCTGGCCCAGCTTTCTTTGGGTGCCAAAGAAAGCTGTGTCTCTTTGGAGGGCTGGGCCAGTGCCAGGCCCCAGTGCTGGGTGTCTGAGCGATCAGAACACAGGGGACCAATTGATGCAGTGTGGGCAGAGCTCCAGCACGAGGCCGCAGGGGAGATGGGAGCCTGGAAGAGGGAGGGAGGGGCTGTGTGGTGGCCAAGGAGCAGGGTGGGGTGAGGGTAGAAGTGGCTCTGAGGGCATGAGGGCACGAGAGAAGATCAGACAAGGGTGGATGAACAATGCAGATGGGGACAGAGATGGAGGAGAGTGGGGGTGGGGGATGCTGTGGTCTGGTGGGGAAGCAAGAAAGGCCACCTTCTCCTTCTCTTAAGCTTTTAAAGGCATCAGAGCATCTTGCTAATTGTTCATCTCCCAGAGACGCTAATGAAATTAACTCTGCAAAATACTCATCAGGTCATCTGCAAAGGGCACAGTGCCAGGCTTCCACTTGGTCCAATCCCGTCCTCCTCCTCCTCCGCTCCTCCTGCCCCTTCCTGACAGTTCTCCGCCTCCTCCTTTTCACATAGGCCCCTCAGCAGAGAACTGCCCACCCCCCAACCTGCCTGAGAGTGCCCAGCAGGAAAACTCGAAAGGGGGACTGTGTAGCCAGGGAGACCTCAGAGACTGAGATGTCACGGAGCTCACGGAGCTGGGAAAGGTTGTCTCTGGGTGTGTGCGGTGCGTGTGCGTGCGTGTGTGTGTGTGTGATAACACATGCATCATAGGAGGATGTGTCTCTAATAAAACCATTTAGACTGAACATTCTTTCAATCACTCAGCAAACATTTCTGGAGCAGCTTCTAGGTTTAAATCCTTGTTCCATCTCTTACCAGCTGAGTGGCTTTTAGCAAGTTACATCCCCTCTCTGTGCCACAGTTTTTGTATCTATATAATGGGTACAATAATCACATCTACTTCATAAGGGACTGTGAGAATCGAAGGAGATAAACCAGCTACAGAGTTTAGTCCTGTCCTGGGCACCTGGAGAGTTCTCAAGAAATGCTGGGCGCTGTCCTTGGTCCTGGAGGCTCCAAGGCAGTGACATCCCAGTTCTTGCGCCGAGGCACTGCCAGGCCAGCCTCAAGGCCCAGGCACGAAGTGCTCAGTAGAACAGGGCAGCATGGAGGGTTGGCATGTGAACAGTCTGTGCAGGAAAGGAGTGGAAAGATATGGAAGTGTCTGTACATGTATGTGACTGTGCGGGGAACATGAGTACCTGTACTGCTTGTCATCGGTTATCCAGTATGCACATGTGTGAGCTGGGTGTGGGAAGTGCATTTGTGTTGTGTTAGTTGTGGAGACTGGGCAGGTTCTGGCTTGCTGTGTGCGTGTGTTGGATTCAGAGCACGGGTGAGTGTTGGGGTTTGTGTGCAGAGGGGACGGGTCCAGATGTTGCCAGGGGTCCTTTGAAGGGGCTTATTTCTAGTTCCATCTCCTGTCTTGTCCCTCACAAAGCACTCATTTCTTTTATGATCTGGCTCTCATTCCACCCCAGTTTACAACTGGGAGGACATTTGTGTCTTCCCCAACATGCTGCAGGTTCCCCCAGTGGGTAGCATCAAGCCTTACAGATAGCAGTCAGTCATAAATGCTCACCCTGTATATTTTTAATAAAGGATAATTCTGTATTATTTTTATTTCCCTTTTTTTAACAGACAGAGTCTTATTCTGTCATCCAGGATAGGATGCAGTGGCCCTATCGTAGCTCATTGCAGACTCAAACTC